CCAGACAAGAAGCATATCCAGATGAACTAAGTCTACTTTATGGCAAGGTTACATTGACGGAATCTTACAAGTGTGAAAGTGCCTATACCTCCTCCATCACCTTTACACCTCAAGAGGCTAGGGAGGGTCTCTTCTGAGATGAACACATTCCTGCTGCAGGCTGAGCTGTTGCCCTGGCTGCACTGCTCTTCCTCATCTCCCAAGGCCATCCCCACACATACAATGACAGTTGCTGAGTTCTCATATGTTTAACAAGAAATAGACAGGATCTGGATTTATTGCAAAATATACTCATTTTTATTGGGAGTTTAAAAAGAATTAACTTTGCGTGTATCTAAGTTATGCTTCCTCTCCTATTTACAGGGAAAGATAGAATCATGCATTGGTAGGATTCACACAAATGAGACCCCTTCATGCCAGGAATGGAAGAAATTGTGGGTCCTCCATCACTGGATGTTTTGAGGAAGAGTCTACTCTAGACAGCCACTTATCTGAAATGGTAGAGGTTCTGCTTGAGCAGGGGGGTGGACTAGAAGACCTCCAAGGTTCCTTCTATTCTATTCTGTTCTATTCTATTCTAAATAGAAAAGTTCATTCTGTAGTTTCCCTTCTGGAAATATTGCACACTGGAGCAGGTTCTTCTTTCAAGAACATTTTTTTTAAAAAAATTAGTAAATTTTATTTAGTTTTCAACATTTAAAAACATAAAATAAAACTTTATACATCATTATATCAATGTCAAGACATCTTTTACATTTCCTTATCATCTATCTATATACACATTTCTTTCACTATACAATTTCAACTTAATATATAAATAAATATAGATCAATATGAATATAGATATAAGTATTTACATAGTTTCTTATTCTTTACCTAATTGCCATTTTGATTTCTTTTTATTCTTAAACCATTTATACTAGGCATCCCAGACATTATAATATATCGACTCTTCTTTGTCTCTTAATTTCATTGTTAGTCTGTCCATCTCTGCACAGTCTAATTTTTTTTTATAACAACACCCTCTGGTGGTACAATTTTCAAGAACAATTTTGATGGTTGGGAGAAACTATAAAAGGGTTAATGGGAGAGGGAATGGAATGGATGCTAAATAATGTGCAGAAAGGAGAAGAGCTCCATATTAGTTTATCTTACCCACAACAGCTCAGTCTGGCTTGCAAAAAGCTCAGGAAGAAGAGATTCAAAACTTTCAAAGAATAGAATAGATAGAATACAATAGAATACTTTATTGGCCAAGTGTGATTGGACACACAAGGAATTTGTCTTGGTGTAAATACTCTCAGTATACATAAAGAAAAAATACATTTGTTAAGAATCAAGAATCATAACGTATAACACTTAATGATAGTCATAGGGTACAATAAGCAATCAAATCATACTAGGAAACAGTCAATATAAATCATAAGGATACAAGCAACAAAGTTACAGTCCTACAATCACAAATGGGAGGGGATGTGCGATAAGGAGTGATGAGAAGTTTAATAGTAATAGTAATGCAGACTTTGTAAATAGATGAACAGTGTTGAGGGAATTATTTGTTTAGCAGAGTGATGGCGTTTGGGGAAAAAACTGTCCTTGTGTATAGTTGTTCTGCTGTGCAGTGCTCTATAGCGTCGTTTTGAGGGTAGGAGTTGAAACAGTTTATGTCCAGGATGTGAGGCGTCTGTAGCTATTTTCACAGCCCTCTTTTTGACTTGTGCAGTATACAGGTCCTCAATTGAAGGCAGGTGGTTAGTAATTGTTTTTTCTGCAGTCCTAATTACCCTCTGAAGTCCGTGTCTGTCCTGTTGGGTTTCAGAACCAAACTAGACAGTTATAGAGATGCAGATGATAGACTCAAAAATTCCTCTATAAGCATTCACCGAGGCAGCTGTCGTCAGCACCATCTTGGCTCAAGGACATCAAAGACATCCCGCTGGCAATTCCTGACACACTTTTGTGGAGTCCCTCCTCTACTCCTAATCCCTGCTTGAAAACATTTTATTGATGTCTGTGCTAATCCCACTTGCTTGGTTAGGAATCGCTTTGAGGGATTTGACAGCCATTTTAGAGTTTCTAACTAAACTGGTGGTGACATATTACATTAGACATACACTGTAATTTTACATTATGACATTACATTGTGACTCCTCCTCCTCCTCCTCCTTTTATCAATAGAGAAGAGCTAACCAACTAGAAATGGCATTATGCAAAATTGCCTTTGGTCTGATAGAGAAAAGTTTGGATTAGCAATAACAAAATGAGGGCTGAAACAAGAATTTTAATTACCCCCTGATGGCTCAACATTCTTTTTGAGAGGCCTCGGGTGAGTTTTGGGAACATGGTGCAGCAGGTCTCATGAATACTGTCTACCTGCCAGGTACATTTATCTGAAGAACTATGAGCTGGAGCTTTTGACCTGAATGTGTTTTACTGCAGGTTTGAAAAGAAACTACAGCCACCTATCTCCACAACCCACATCTCAAACACACCAACAACAGCCAAGCCTCCTACAAGTGGCCCCAATCCATTTGGCTCACAACCTCTGGTGATCACAGAAAAAGAAGTGCAAGATTTATTACACAGACAGAAGTCCAGGAAAAGCACCAGGGCCAGACAAGATAACTCCTTCTTGCTTAAAGGTCTGTGCTGACCAATTGGCCCAAATCTTTAATAGATCACTAGAGATGTCCTATGTTCCTTCCTGCTTCAAACGTTCTACCATCATCCCAGTGCCAAACAAGGCCTCCATCAAGGAACTGAATGACTACAGACCAGTTGCTCTAACATCTGTAGTTATGAAAATCTTTGAAAGTCTTGTGCTGTCCCACCTGAAAACCATCACAGATCCACTGTTGGATCCCATGCAGTTTGCATACCAAGCAAATCGATCGACAGATGATGCTGTTAACATGGCTCTGCATTACATCCTACAACACCTTGAATCTCCAAATACCTACACAAGGGTCCTCTTTGTAGACTTCAGTTCAGCATTCAATACCATCATTTCAGACACTCTTCTAAGTAAATTAAACTAGCGGTACCTGAACACACTTGTAAGTGGATCATAAGCTTCCTAACAGACAGGAAGCAGCAGGTGAAGCTAGGCAGAATCACATCTGATACCTGTACAATCAGCATAGGGTCCACCCAAGGCTGTGTGCTATCTC